TTTCTAATATCGCCCAGTCCTAGTTTTGAGTTAGATTTTTAGTTTCTGATTTATTTAATTCACCAAAATTTAGTTCGAAATAAAAATATATAGTAATGTTTTGAATTACTATATTGATTGGAAAGGTTAAAACTAAAATAAAAGCAACATAAAAGCAACTCAGAGGAATTAACTATACCCACATTTAAACTACTTCTTCATATCTGATTGTTTTTTTTTTTTTATCCTTATTCTGATATTTCACAAATACATTTATGACTTGTCCATTCCGAAGAGATAAATTTCTGACGAAGCTGTTTCAAAATATTGATTGCTTGATGATCCTTGGAGGTGCATTTAATTTAATTTTTCAAACTGCTCACTCTTTCTAACAGCAATGTTTTCAGTTTCACTTTCCTCAGTAATGATTCTTTAGATTTCGATGACGTTTTTTCCCCTCATTTAAATATTAATTCTTCAGATACCTTCAATTTTCGGGATATTTTGCGGTTGGAAAATATTTTAGCATTCAAGAGGTCCTTCATTTCAGCTTTTTTACATGGTGAAATGTCGGCCTTTTTTTTTTTACCTATGCAGTGAAAGTGTTCCAATTGATTATTTATACACTGCTTGCAAAATAAACAAATAACTGCGTAGTATGAAACTGCAAAAAAAAATAAATACAGCGCATGAAGTCACAGAAACGCGTCCGCTACTGACGCCTCCTATAACTGAAAGCCTCCACACGGTTTTTTATAGGTAGTCCGATCAGACCACTGTAATGGATATCCACTTTCCGAACGAGTCATTTAATACAAAATCTAGTAAAAATAAGAAAGTGGTAGTAAATATATGACTAAAAATTTGTTTTATTTATGAATATTATTGGTTTGCTTTATTCACTTGTCAACCACTACAGATTCAATTCTCAAATATATATGAGGAATTTCTCTCAATTACTTTTATAAAAGGTTTTGGGTTCATGCGCACAACTGGTTCACTTTTCAAATAGTCTGCTCGGACTACTTAGAAAAGACCGTGTGGAGGCTTTTTGATGTAGGAAGTGATGACTCAAACCGGTTTGAACTTGTTAACGTTCGTGTATCAATGGTTATGCATTGTAATGCAATACGTTAAAAATAAATACAAATAGGAAATTTACTAAAAAATCTCCACGCTAAAAACATATTACATGTATGTCTAAATATAAAAGTATTGCATATAAACTCGTGCAAAGCATGTAATTATTAAAAAAACTACAGTGTTTCTAATAGTTTGTCCAGTGAATGTATATACACTTGTCTGCTCCTCTGAAAATAGCATTAAAAAGTTATTACCTTAGCTTAGCATAATGCATCATAAACTGTGATATATTATGGCTTTCTTTCTATTACTTTATATCTTTAAATTGCATAAAAACTGCAACTTGTAGAGAAACACAGGTTGCAGATTTGAAATCAGCTTCGCGAAAATATAGATTATCCGTAAAAAACTCGATTGTAACAAAAAACAGAGAGAAATTTATTTCCCAGCGTTTATTGTGCTTTCGTAAAGTTATTTTAAATTTTGAAATAATATTTCTTGTATCAGTTAAACTACCAATTTATATTTTAGAAAACTTTATTTATAAAAAAATGATATGTTTAAATTTTAATGAAATATAACACAATTTTATTAAATTTATATAAATAGCCACTGATAAGAATGGTGGTTATGATAAATAAAAAGTAACTGATATTTTATCAGACTTAACGTAGTGGACGGATAGAGTCTGATTATCTGAACTAGATTAGAGCCGTGACCCGAAATTTAGCTACCAAACTAAAATGAAAACGTTATGCAGAGACTTTAAATGAAAGATTAGTACGGATTCGCCGTGGTTTATAATTTTTTTAGTAGTAATTGAACAAAAGTAGAAATTTTTTGAAACGAATAAATATTTTTTTTAAAAATACTAGAACTTAAGCATTTGTCTATATAACTTTATAGTATCTATTTAAATTGCTTGTGTCAATTGGTGGACAAATAATTTCTTTAATTCTAATTTAAATTCTGATTTATTAAAATATTAGGTCAACCGGAAATTTCGCTCTGCGAAAGTGCACGCCTCCTTACGCAAAGGATTCTTTTGTAAAAGAAGGTGACAAAGTATTTATCCTTTAACTCTAGTATATGATGTATCTTTTTTAGCTGATGGTAATATTCTAGCTAAAAAAGTTTCAAGCTCAAAAGAGCATGTGCATACATATTCAAAACAAGGCAGTACATCTGGCAGATGCATTTGAGGATAAATGTCCGACCACTTTTTTTTAATAAAGAAATCTTAGCATTCTTGTATAATAAATTTATGTATTTGCGCGTACAGAATTTTCCGGTAGATCTAATATAAATGCATTACCCTTGCAACCTCTTGAAAAAATATCTTTATGAAACTAAGGAGAAACCGTAGTCTTGGAGATTCTGGCTGTAAATGAACGTCATCAAGTCATTGCCTATGTGGAAAAATAAGCTGTTGAACATTAAAAAACTAACTTTTTTTGGTGTTCAAAAACATTAGTTCCTCATACGGAAGCATACCCTCCAACTGCTATGGAATTTCCGTAGTTTCAGAAATCTTCTTTTCTGACTGTAGCAAAATTAATGTCTTAATATTAAAAAAAATATTAATTTTAGCGTAACTTGTCCACTATTACTTATAAAAGTTCTGATAAAAGTTTCATGAGAGATCCATTTGCTTTAAAAATTTCTACTTTGGTTCGCTACCACTAGAAAGAATTATTTTCAAAATCCTCATAAGTTGTAGGGTATGCGGAAGTATGCCCTTATTAATTTATTTTCTTAACACTAGGTTTACGGAACGCGTCATTTTGACGCATTTCGAGTTTTGTAAGGAAAATTGCAAAATCCGTTAAAATTTTTATTTTATCTCTTGTAATGACTTTTACCCATTGATCGAGGTAAGTATATATTGATGTCTATTTTCTTCAAAAGCGTTGAAACATTGAAAGTCTTTTTGTGGTATACCTATCTCTACGAATATGCGTCAATTTGACGCGATCGTAATTTAGATAAAATTTTGAGTAAACATGCAAGCATCACATCAATTAAAAATAGGAATGTACCGACAATACTTCGATGCGTTGTCCGATATCGTTATCTCAAATGAAAAAAGCGATAAACAACTGTTGCCGATAAGCAATAATTGAAAGAACAAATGCAGAATATCAGTAAATAACCACTAAGTTAATTTAGTAGCGAAATAAAGTAGCGAATTATATAATCCTACGAATTGTTTAGAATTAGTGGTGGTTAAAAATCTACTAAATTGAGTTTATTAAATATGTATTCGTATCTATGTATTCGTTCATGCGTCAAATTGACGTGAAGAAACGGCCGTAAACCTAGTGATGTATTCGTTCATGCGTCAAATTGACGCGTGTTCGTAGATATAGGTATATAAGAAACGTCCGTAAACCTAGTGATGTATTCGTTCGTGTGTCAAATTGACACGCGTTCGTAGAGATAGGTATATAAGAAACGTCCGTAAACCTAGTGTTAAAGAGAGTAAAACACTAAATTTGACCAGACACCTACGGGACTGTACAAATTTAAGCTGCTTAAGTCGTCCTAAAGTGTAACGTGTATTTAAAGAATTTTGAACATGCCAGTTACTTATTGCTTTTTATTTTTACTTTAAATATCACGTATTTTATTATTTCATTTTAAACACACAACGCATACTTATGACAAATGTTGAAACAGCTATAATTTAAATTATGTAATTATACTATTTCTTAAGCCAAATTTCCTGCCACAACCACTTTTAACTTTTTATCCTGTTAATTTATGGTAGGAAATGGAAAAACTCGTGAAGAAAGGGCTTGTTAAATCTATCGGTCTCTCCAACTGTAACAGTCAACAAATCAGGAGAATTTATGATTCTGCAACAATAAAACCTGCTGTACTTCAAGTAAGTTTTTGTTATTAAAGTTTTAGTGGTGGCTTGCCTTTTTAGATTGTTTTTATGCTTTCTTTTCAGTGTTTCGGATACAAAAGAACAGCGATTTGCGAGATTAATTATTTGGCGGGGAAACTTTAAAAAAAAAAATATATATATATAAACCTTTTCGAGGCCATTTCAAGCTAGACAGTTTGTGGTAATATTTTTCACTTTGTAAGGGAAGAACGACTAAGACAATAGAATTGTTCGAAAATGATAAAACTTTAATTTAATAGCATTTTTATGCACGCAAAATAATAATTCTGTTAGATATTTTTTAATCGCAATTTTCTTTCACCCTTGATAGAGAAATTATGCTACACGTAAAATTAATTAAATATTGGGTGTATTCTTTATTATTGCAAGCACAGCACACAAAAAGTATTTTTAAGGAATAATAAAATAAGATTATGACAATAATGTAAAATTAGCAAAAACAAACTTTCAATTTTGCTCAAAAATCGGATATTTTACGTACTGAGGTGTAATGTAATGATTAAAGGGTTTAACCATAAATATATTGATAATATTTAATTAATCGTGATTAGCTTAATCCAATTAATCGTAACTTAACTCAATAGAGCTAACACTTTATTATAAATTAGGAAATCCAACACGAAAGATATGTTTTTCTCGCAAAAAACATACCTTTTTGTCGACGGATTTGAATTTTTGACCCTTAAATTAACCCTTTCGCGCCGACTGTCACAAATACGTGACAGCATAAAACTGCATCAATCAGGGTAAGAAGATAAAACTGGTAATCAAAGTATTTCTTTAGCAGTTTATTTGTGGGCGGAGTTATAATTTTTTGATTTATTTAATTCACCATTACTTTGTTCAAAATAAAACTATTTAGTTATACTTTGAATTAACATTGATTATATATGTGATTAAACTAACAATAATTAAAGTAAAAGCAAAGTAAGTCTGTCAAATTATCAACGACTACATTTAAGTTACCGTTTTTTATTTAATTACAACTTGATTCTGATTTTGTACGAATGCTTTTCTGAATCACCCGTCCCCAAGGGGTTAAGGGCGGGTCGAAATAATTAGATCAGAAAGTGGTTGAAAGTTTAGATCCTTTAACCCCTTGGGGACGGGTGATTCGGAAAAGTATTCATACAAAATCAGGATCAGGACGTAATTAAACAAAAACCGGTAGCTTAAATGTAGTCGTTTCTAATTTGACAGACTTACTTTGTTTTTACTTTAATTATTGTAAGTTTTATCATATATATAATCAATGTTAATTCAAAGTATAACTAAATAGTTTTATTTTGAACAAAGTAATGGTGAATTAAATAAATCAAACAATTATAACTCCGCCCACAAATAAACTGCTAAAGAAATACTTTGATTACCAGTTTTATGTTTTTAGCCTAGTTGATACGGTTTTATGCTGGCACGTATTTGTGAGAGTCCGCGCGAAAGGGTTAATGCAGAGATGCAGCGGGTGACTAATTGTGTAATAAGTGATAAAACTCAATATTTATTTATTTTATCTATTAAGTTATTCAATCGTAACTACGTACTTCCTCTATAATGACCAAATGACGTATGACAAGCTGGTGAAATGATGAGTGGTCGCGATGATTAGTGAGTAAACGGAGTACATCACCTCATGTATACATATAGATTGTCTTTAGAAAGAGCTCCCCTCACTATGAAGTTTAACGCCGACTGCTGCTATGGAAACAAGAAATAGCGCATTTTAAAGAGGGGAGCTTCTTTTTCCCTTAATTCTCTTTCTCTCTCGCCGGCCCGATTCAAAACTTGTCTTAAATAATGACCCAGCACCCCTACTTGAAATAGTTAAACCTCGTATCCATAGTAACCGGCGCCACTTCAGACGAATGGCTGGGGAAGTTCTTTACATAGACGAACTATACCTGCCAACTAATACGGTTATTGACGATGTGGCAGTAAAACACAATTAAGTTTAGAAGAATTTTCTAAAAACAACTATTAAGACGTCTATAAGCATAATAAGCAAACAAATAGATGTTATCGACATAGTTTTTTTTAATTATTGATTCGTCGTGATAGTTTAAAAGTATATATATATTTTTTTTTTTTTTTTTTTTTTTTTTTTTTTTTTTTTTTTTTTTTTTTTNTTTAAGTTTAAAACTTCCAATACGGCAAATGGAAAAAAAATCAGAATTTATGAAATTGATTTGTTTTTAGTAAGCTCTGTTTTGATTGAATCTTCATTCGTAATTATCTTAAACTATGCATTTTTTTTAATAAAACAATAACTAATATTTTAACTTTTAGTTTCGCTGATATTTAGAATTCAGAAGTATAACCATTTGTTTATCTGAAACTTTAGACATCCTTTCAAATCCCTATCATATTCTGGAGGATAAAATGCTGCCAATTATAAATTATTATAATATTAAATTATTATTTTGCTACCAGTATAAAAAATATATTCTAAAAATAAGGAAATTCCCATCAATGGCAGATGAAATGTGTTCTCAATATGAAAATTTTTTTTCTTCTTAAAAATGGTAAAGAGAAATAATATTACGCTTTACCATTTTATTTTAATTAACGTAAATGATTTACAATGACTTTTTAATCGGAATATATAAAGTATTTAAACAAATGTGAAACCTGATTATTCTACTGCGAAGTTTTTAAGGGCTAGAAAAAGACAATTTAATCTTAATTGTTGTTTCACAATCACTTAAAAATATTGTAGGGAGATAGGTTTCCGAGTTGGCTTCCATATTATTATATGGAATGTAATGATATCATGTCAAAGAAACTTAAAGTAGAAAGAAAGAAAAAATTACATCTTCAGAATTTCGGAAATCATTAAAAAAATTTTTTTTAAATATAACTAGGGGAAGGTAAATTCATTTCTATTGTTCTTATTCCTCTTTAAAGCCTGGAAATTAAAAGTTAACTTTTTAATTCCAAACTATCATACATTATTAATAGTTTTTATACCTTAATCTCCTTTTCAAAAATAAAAATCTAATGACGGCTATAGCCGTCGAAAGTTTCTTTGGGTGATAATTTTCACTTCCAAACATGCGACTGACCCTCAATTTTATATTGCAGCCATGAACAATTGAAAAAAAATATATGTTTCTGAGAACGATCGTCGAAATAAAGGAAATGATTTTAATCTATACACATAATAAAATTTAGAATTTGTGTAGCTGCATACCGGACTATGGATAAACCATAAGCTTTAAAAATGCGACATTTAACATGAAGATAAATGCTTGTAAACAAATTAACAAATTACTAAAAACAAATTACTAATCCCGATTATCGATTTTCGAATTATATTTTTAATACAGGCATTTGAAAAATGGAATTCTCCCATTGGCTTATCTTAAGCCATTGTTTCAAAGTAAACAATAAACTATTCAATTTTGTCAAATATTTTAACGATAACATCAGTGATATTTGTTAGCTTATAGCTCTAACCAAAAAAAGTTGTTTATTGCATTTTCTTTATTATTTAAAAATTTTTTCTATTCGTTTTGCCTGGTTATCTGAATGATCATAGGTGGACTACATCACCAAATGAGTATTCCTAATATTATCTGAAACCACGAGTTTATTTTGTTTACAGTTATGGTTTTAAAACGCGTTATTATAAAACTAAATAACTTAATATCAATGGTCATTGAAATAAAAATAATGAGATTTGTACTGAAAAGCAAAATTGCTGGCGAAATGGAACTAATTCGTTGAGGATAAACAAAAAATAACACCAATATTATTATTGACTCCGATGATAATTCATTTTGGTAATAGTTACTAATTGAAGTAAAATAATGATCAATGTTATGGCAGAAGTTTTAGCTTTCTACAATAATTAACCCCTTGGGGACGGGTGATTCAGAAAAGCATTCGTACAAAATCAGAATCAAGTTGTAATTAAATAAAAAGCGGTAACTTAAATGTAGTCGTTGCTAATTTGACAGACTTACTTTGCTTTTTCTTTAATTATTGTTAGTTTAATCATATATATGGGTCATTCTCACGAAAACTGTCATTTTTCAGTTCATAAAATCCCAAAAAAGTAAAGTGAATAAAAAGCTCTGAAACTTTTTATATTAATAGAAATATGTAATGGCATTATAGAGAAAGTATATATCCTATAAATTATACTTAATATTTAAATTAATTAATTTTTTAAATAATTAATTTATAATTAATTAATTTA